CAATTAATGTGTATATGTTTTGCTACAAGATGTTTATTTTTGTTTTTGGAACATACCTTAGCCACCTGATGCAATACAACAAATCTGTAACTTAGCAACGCGATGTTGAGCAATTAATGTGTATATGTTTTGCTAAAAGCTGCTTATTTTTGTTTTCTTTAAATTCATTGTGCAACTGAAATACAATACAAAAGTAGCTTATGAACATGATAATGAAGAATTTGCGAATATATACCAAAATGATGAAGAGACGGACACTGGGAGGAAAGCTCCTGCCAAGTTGCAAAAGTTTAAACCAGATCACCAGTTTTGAAGATGAGAATACATGATGCAGAAAGCTTCACCAGATCACCAGTTATAAAGATAAAAAGAGGGAATGCAGAGAGCCTCACTAGTTAACCAGTTGTGGAGGTGAGAGAATAGGAATGCAGAGAGCTTTACCAGATCACCAGTTGTGAAGATGAGAAGACATGATGCAGAGAGCGTCGCCAGTTCACAGGTTATAAAGATGAAAGGAGGGAATGCAGAGAACCTCACTAGATCATCAGTTGTGGAGGTGAGAGAAGAAAATGTACAGAGCTTCATCAGATCACTAGTTGTAAAGGTGAGAAGACATGATGCAGAAAACTTCACCAGATCACTGGTTGTGGAGGTGAGAGAAGGGAACATAGAGAACTTCACCAGATCACCAGTTGTGGAGGTAAGAGAAGGGAACATAGAGAACTTCACCAGATCACCAGCTGTGGAGGTAAAAGAAGGGAACATAGAGAACTTCACCAGATCACCAGCTGTGGAGGTAAGAGAAGGGAACATAGAGAACTTCACCAGATCACCAGTCGTGGAGGTGAGAGAAGAGAACATAGAGAGATTCACCAGATCACTAGTGGAGGTGAGAGAAGAGAACATAGAGAACTTCACCAGATCACCAGTCGTGGAGGTGAGAGAAGAGAACATAGAGAGATTCACCAGATCACTAGTGGAGGTGAGAGAAGAGAACATAGAGAACTTCACCAGATCACCAGTTGTGGAGGTTAGAGAAGGTAATGTAGAGAGATTCATCAGATCACTAGTGGAGGTGAGAGAAGGGAACATAGAGAGATTCATCAGATCACTAATTGTAATGTATCATCCTAATACGAAGTGCTAGACTATTAACTTTTCACATTTACTTCCTATGAAATTAAGTTATAAGTTTCTTTAGGTTATAATGATCGGTAATAATAATTTTGTTCTTTCAGCACAAATTCAGCTAGCTGTGCTGTATTCTCCATGGGGATCGAATCTTGAATTTCAGCTTCAAATACTGGGTAACTGGGGCAACAGAAATGCTAAAAAATATTTATCTTGAGTTTATAGCTACAATTTAAGTCCTTTTACAATTAAGATAAAACTCCACATTTCGAATGTTTTCTAAATCATTCTTTATAGGCTATTATTATTGTTAGTTTTGGTTTTGTTTACATACAGCTACGAAGAGTACGTTTCTGGAGGTCCGGCATGGCCAGGTGGTTAGGGCGCTCGACTCACAATTTGCGGGTCGCGGGTTCGAATCCCCGTCCCACCAAAGATGCTCGCTCTTTCAGCCGTGGGGGCGTTATAATGTGACGGTCAATCCCACTATTCGTTGATAAAAGAGTAACCCAAGAGTTGGCGGTGGATGGTGATGACTAGCTGCCTTCCCTCTAGTCTTACAATGCTAAATTAGGGACGGCTAGCGCAGATAGCTCTCGTGTAGCTTTGCGCGAAATTCAAAACAAACGTTCCTGGATTGATGGTTGTATTGTGACAGAAGAGACTAATTACTAGTTAGTACATCTTGAATTCACGAACAACATAAGGTGCACTCTTACCTGCAAGTTACACATAATGTCTGTTATATTTATAAGTACAAAGACAGTTCAAACATTTGATGAATTTTATTGACGAATAGAAAATTACATCGTTCCCAGACTTAAATTCGGTGTTATGCAATATTCAAAAAAATTATTAAATTATTAATTTTATTTGTAATTATATAGGAGCTTAATGAATAGAATTCTTTCGCTATTTCCTATTAAACGAACGGGTTTTCTGGTTCAGAATGTCCAATAACCAATGTTAAATTGGAAAATGACTGCAAACAATTTTTCGTATTTCTGATATAACTTAAGAACAACATGAGAAAAATTTAATGTCCTGATTAACTAAGTAAAACATGGCCATTTTATTATTCTTTAGATTTTACCATTTTCACAATTTATTGGAATTTTTCAATAGCACACCTTTGATTAGTTTAGTGTTAAAAGTCTGGGTTTAATGGTGGAGCGGATACGTTACAAAATGGCATGAGTTGTTAACTTGTTTGGCAAAAACCATGAAAACTGGTATACGACAGTTTTAAGACATGTCGGTTTAAACACTCTTGGAAGCATTGTCAGAGCAAAGCTTCCTATTTTTTGCGAATCATTAAGTTCGAGCTGATAGTATTTTAATATTTTCTGTTTAAACAATTGCTTTAGTACTAGCTACTATTACGTAAATATTAATGTCAGACTTTATCGAAATGTGATACAAAACACATAGTTTCTTTATTTTACTTCACTTTTCTTACAAAATAAAATCAAAGTTTAAAAAATATTACAAACAGACAATCGTCGTCTTGGTGCAATAGCGAGTCAAGTGAAACATGGTTATTGCAATAATGAGTCAAGTGACTCATGGTTACTGCAATAATGAGTCATGTGACTCATGGTTCTTCCTTTTTTGAGATAGAGAAAAGAAAAGAATAATTCTGTTTAAATTATTGGAAAATAACAAGAAAATGACAAGTACGCTTAATGTTTATGTGCACGCTTTTGAAATGTGTCTTTCTGCAATACTAGGCCAAGTGCACATTTAGGAAATACTAAGTCAAGTAATAATGCCATAATGCACTTTTAAAAGCGTTGTTTTATTGTTTGAAAGAACACTGACCATGCTTTTAGTAGGAAAGTACATTTTAAGTCTTTCCCTAAGGGAAAAGAAAAAAGGAAGAGCCGTCGCCATATAACAATGATGTTATGTCAGGATGATACTCGATTCTGTTTTTAGAAAAAACTGAAACACAAACTACCTGTTCATGACTTTCGCCTATTTTATTGAACAGTGCAAATATAAATATTGTCTATTAATTATTAATTAATGCGATAGATATCCTTATATGGCATAACTATGAGGGACTAGATATCCTAGGCACAGGGAAGATATATAGAATAGCTGGAGGGACAGCACTGGGATTTATGTGTGGTAACATTGACGTCATTCACAGAATATTCAGAGAAAGTATGGTATCTGCCGTCCTATTGCGGCCCAAACTTTATCCAACTTAAAAACAACTAGAGCATTTATCTATCTGCTTTGTAGGCAGATATTCAGAGCCTGTGCTATACGTATGCATAACAGATTAAAGCAACTCTTCCAAATACATATAGTTGGTATAACTTTTCTATTACTCTGATAAATGTACATTTTTTTGTATTCTGTGAAACGATGAGCATTAAGTTCCAACAAAAGTGTTTGCAAACAACTGAGTAAATCTGGGTTTGGGGTATCATAAACAACGGCCAAGGATGCTTAAAGATGACATGAGAAAAATATAGTTAAATAATGCAACGCTGTGGGACATAATCATATAAAGTAAGGCTAATGTATGGCTTCAAAGCTAACTCATAGAGGACTACTTTAGAAAATCATTATAAACCTAGTCAACAAATATCTATAAGCCTTGAACCTCTTGTATGTCAGGAAGTCATGAAACTGATATCTAAACTGAAAGAAATTTCCAATACTAGGTAGTCATTATGATCATGTTACTTAACTTTTTGTTACAAAATATACAGAAAATTTACTTTTGTATCTTTTTCAATTAAAATACTTCAGATATTAATATTTCAAAAATTCTTGAAGGGAAAGGTATCCAGCATTAGTGAACCCAAAATTTCATAGATTAATTCATAATTTTGTAAAAGGGCATAAACAGGTTTTGAAACCGGAACAACTATATGCACTTGTCACCAAGAGTGTAAAAGGAATTCAATACCCAGTGAAAAACTTTTCTATTAAGAGGGGGGGATACACCCTCAGGATCCACTCATGATTTCAGTGATAAGCTTTTTTTTTCTGACAACTTGCTTTTTTAAATTTTAGAAATCGGCGTACATTACAATCCTTTTACACCAATTTTCGTCCTTTCTACCAAAGTAAATTTCTTTGTCACAGATCCACCCCACAATGACATTCATGACACGCAATCTCTAAAAACCACGTGATGTAACACTCATAAGTTTTGCATTTTTCAAGGGTTTCCAAAGCATGCAAAGTCGTTAACACAGTGTCAGTATTGTAGTCATGTATATAATTATAACGATTATTCTATTACAGAGGTGGGGTACGTGATATTAAAAAGGTTTTGGAGCCTCACCATGTCGCCACATTTGGTCATGCTCTATCTCAAATCCGTACTTCTTGACAATAGCTCTGCCCAGTATTTTTTATTGCAAAAGGTTCAATCGTGAAGTGGTCATGTTCAAAGAACACATGTCCTTCTTGTATACTTTGTATAATCCATTTAATGTACGAAGACGACGGTTTCACAGCGCCTCTTTCGACAGCCTGATCACACAGAAGCCCTTAGGAACGACGTCTTGCGATTTGACTGGTATGTCTTCGTTTCATTTTCCAGTCGCTGGTGGTAAGCGTCGGTTGAATGATATGTCGTGGAAGCAACTTGTGTCGCTTTTTCAGACAAGGATCCTTCTTGATGGGGATGGATTTTGCTACTGGATTTGCAGCAGTGTGCAGTATGTTACAATATGCGGCAATTTGCTCACTATGGCTGGAATAGTTTCTGGATAGTTCTGGATCCCCAGATTGAGATATATTTCTTTATTTTCTAATGCCATTAAGTATAAGAGATATACCTGTCTTGGGAATTCTAGATCCTTCATCTGAACACATCTTTGTGACCTAAGTGTATGAATATTTTACATCGGAAAAGGCTGTTACATACTCTTCCCAAAAGCGATTACTTTTCGGTGACATTGCACTACCAGTAAACATCAAACAATGTCAAAATATAGTTTTGATACATGCCGTTCCATCACGACTTTATAATGAATGTAGTTCTCACATGATTTGTTGACTTGTTTTTTTCAAAATTGTTTTAATATAACGCGTTCAACCCACTGTGTTCTTTTATATTTTGGGCTTCTATATGGGTTTCGGAGGCATGAAATAGTTAATTATCAAACTGAGTTTTGTTAAAGACATATATTACAAATGATTAATATCAAAGGAAAGATAATTGTTATATTACAGAGATTCTAATACAATGAAATATATGATATTATTTTGGTGACACCAATACTATAAAGTGATTTGTTTCTATGTGTCTATTTGTATGTCAGTACTTTAAGGGGCTCTATGGTATCGCCCATAGGGATTCTAAGACATCTTATTCTATTCATTTTCTCAGTTAGGTAATTATCTCAATTTTCTCTTTGCTACTATCTAAGTGTCTATTTTTAACACATCCCTCAGGAGCCAAGGGGTGTCTTTTCACTACAATTTGTTGAATATTAAAAGTAAGTACAATCCGAAAACTCCCAAAGAAGGTGGTTAGCTGGGCTAGTAATGGGCCAATCTAAAAGCCAGAATCGGAAAAATTTTAGGCTTTATATCATATTGTAGCTTTCTCTCCTGATATATTTACTTTTACGTTTAATTTTGACACGGTAAAAATTGAAAGAAACTAATGTCAAACTGGCTGATGTTTGAAAACAGAATTTTATTTTATTTTCAGATTCTTTCTAAAGTTTGGGGATCAAATTATTAACCAGGAGGTGATACAAGGATGTAAGATTTGCCAATTATTTCAGTTTGATAGAACAAATAAAGAGAGGTAAAGTACTGACTAACTCAAGCAATAGAACCTATTTATAAATGCTTATAAACGTAATCCTTAAAATAAATTTTTAAACAAATACCTTATTCAATTGTTTAACTCATGCAATAGAACCTGTTGATAAACGTAATCTTTAAGGTAAATTCAAGCAATTAAACCTATTTATAAATGTTTATAAACGTAATCCTTAAGGTAAATTCAAGCAAAAGAACCTGTTTATAAATGTT